GCTTTCAAGTGGTAAATAAAAAGAATAAACAACAAAAATGAAAAACAGGAAGAAAGAAGAGACAAAAGTAGAGAAAAGTAAAGGTTTTAGTACTATAAAAGAAAGAAAAGCAGCGTTCTCTCCCTAACTTATTTATGCAATGAAATGCATCCGATCAATATTTAGCCATTGTAGTTTTTGAAACCAGTCACTCGTGTTTTCAAAATAGGAAATGAATCCGACTTTTTTTATCAAAACATTTACAAAACTATTAACAATGAGTATGCCATGATAAACATGCTATAAGGAGTAAAAACAATGGTTTAGATATGCATTGCCTTTTACCGTCTAGGAGTTAGAAGTATTATAAAACATAGTTTAAGCAAGCAATGGTTGTTGTATGAGGTGAGGTTAATAATATCTTACTGAATTTTTAAAGTTACTTTTACTTACCTGCCCTTCACATTTGTCTTGCTGTATCATGATTTTGTTTGTTTCGTTTAATTTGAAAGAAAGTTATGGTTTAAAGAACAACAACTATATAATCAGTTTTAAGTTTATTTCACTAGTCACGGCAATAACCCTGCTGTGGAAGCTTGACTATGTCGGGGGCTGCGTCATGTGAACGTTGCCGTCGCCTTGATTGTCTTTATTCCAGTTTTCCTTTTTTACTCTTATAACGCTCTCAATTTCTTTTCCACCGGGAAGCTTTCAATATATTTGTAACATTAAAGCACAGCTCAATTGACCCACACTAGTACGGAGGCTTCCAATAAGAAAGAAATTTATCAGGATATCTGCTAAATCAATAATGATAATAATAATATTAATAGAGCCAGATTGTAACTCTTTTCCGACCTTCTTGATAATGTTTACCATGTGCATGAAACAGGTATCAATTACCTATAGTTTTGAATGTCTAGATCAAAAACATAGTAATCTTCTCATCAACAAAGTTTACATCCAATGCGGATAAATATGCAAGTATGTATGTAAAATGATAAATATTAAATTTCAGATCTATCTAGCAAAGGAGATCGATTTTTTCTTAAAGAATTTTAATTATGTGCACTAGACATACATTAGAAATATTATCTAATAAAGTTGAAGCCTAAATGTCCTATAATGAGGCCGGATTCATTCTCTATTAAGCAAGTGCTTTCAGTGCTTTGATCAGAGTGAAAGAGAAATCTCTGGAATAACATTCTGTGTGTGCGTGTGATTTTTTATGCTTACAATACTCAAATTCATGTTCGTTGTATAAAAGGTATTACGAAGTTTTTTGTCCTGAACGGGTGTCAGATAAACCAAAGTGACCTTTGAAATAGGACCCATTACACTGATTGACAAAGTAAATTTTCTTAGCCTAGATATCATGATATTTTAACCATTACAAAGTTAATACATAAAATTTAATAATTACACGAAAGCTCTCAAATTAACATAGAATATTTGTAAAATTTGTGTATGTCAGTTTCGAACTCCGTACGTTTATCTAAATTCATCATTGTAATGGAGAAAAAAACATGATTACAACAATGTAATGCTTTAAATATATTGAAATTGCTTTTGAAAGATTTTTCTCACAAGAACATATGTGAACAACAAGAAATTTAACAAACAAACCCATTATTTGCTTTTAAATTTATGGATTGTTGGTATATTCCGGTTTCGCACTTTCGATGCTGCCGATACACAAAAAATTCTCCGTTTCGCTTTTTAGTCATCCCGAGACTCATCACGTGACCGTTGTTTTTATTCAGATTTGCAAACTGAAAGGTGTTTAAACGCTTTTCCCACAAAATTGGAGAAAATATGTATTTCAAACGACTTGCCAATCCAAAGAACACATATCAATGTATCACTGATTCTGTTTGAATGTCCCTAACTCGCAGGTAACAAAAAATTATCGGTTCGTGAAATTTTACTTTTTTTTGTGACATTCGGCCGTACCTCAGTGGAGTACCTTTAACTCTGCTTTGCCTAATTTTGGAGTTATTGCCCTTTGTTCATTTTGACACTTCAAACTTTGTCTGGGACATAACTCTGAAACTATAAGAGATATCAACATGAAACTTTATAGGTAGATAGATCATATTAAAATGTAGTGCAAAGAAGCATAACACGGCCTTGCCTTATTTTGGAGTTATTGTCTTTTTAGCTCACCTGAGCTTGCTCAGGGTGAGCTTTTAGGATCGATGAATGTCCGTCGTCCGTCCGGCCGTCCACAATTGCTTGTGAACACTCTAGCGGTCGCATTTTTGCCTCAATCATCATCAAACTTGGTCAGGATGCTTATCTAGTTGAAAGCTCGGATGAGTTCGAACATGGGTCATCTCAGATGAAAAACTAGGTCACAAGAGCTAAAAATAGAAAAACCTTGTGAACACTCTAGAGGTCACATTTTTGACCCAATCTTCATCAAACTTGGTCAGGATATTTGTCTAGGTGATAGCTCGGATGAGTTCGAACATGGGTCATCTCGGATGAAAAAGTAGGTCACAGGAGCTATAAATAGAAAAACCTTGTGAACACTCTAGTGGTCACATTTTTGAACCAATCATCATCAAACTTGGTCAGAATGCTTGTCTAGTCAATTGCTTGGATGAGTTCGAACATGGGTCATCTCTGATGAAAAACTAGGTCACAGGAGCTAAAAATAGAAAAACCTTGTGACCACTCTAGTGGTCACATTTTTGACCCAATCATCATCAAACTTTGTCAGGATGCTTGTTTAGATAATAGCTCGGATGAGTTCGAATATGGGTCATCTCGGATGAAAAACTAGGTCACCGGAGCTATAAATAGAAAAACCTTGTTAACACTCTAGCGGTCACATTTTTGCATCAATCATCATCAAACTTGGTCAGGATGCTTATCTAGTTGATAGCTTGGATGAGTTCGAACATGGGTCATCTCGGATGAAAAACTAGGTCACAGGAGCTAAAAATAGAAAAACCTTGTTAACACTCTAGTGGTCACAATTTTGACTCAATTGTCATCAAACTTGGTCAGGAAACTTGTCTAGGTCATTGCTGGGAATAAATCGAACATGGGACATCTCGGATGAAAAACTAGGTCACAGGAGCTAAAAATAGAAAAATCTTGTTAACACTCTAGTGGCTACTGTTGTGATCCAAATATTCTGTTAATTGGTCTGAAAGTTTGTTTTGATGATTTCTAAGTCAAGATCGAACATGGGTCATCTTGGATGAAAAACTAGGTCACACCGCCCAAATATGGAAAAACCTTGTTAACATTCTAGTGGTCACATTTTCGACTCCATTATCATCAAACTTGGTCAGAATGCTTGTCTAGGTAATTGCTTGGATGAGTTCGAAATCGCATGTGAAACTAGGTCACCGGAGCTAAAAATAGAAAAATCTTGTTAACACTCTAGTTGCTACTGTTTTGATCCAAGTATCCTGGAAATTGGTCTGAAAGTTTGTTTTGATGATTTCTAGGTCAAGTTTGAATATGTGTCACCTGGGTAAAAAACTAGGTCGCACTGCTCAAATATGGATAATCCTTGTTAACACTGTAGTGGTCACATTTTTGACTCACCTGTCATGAGACTTGGTCAGAATGCTTGTCTAGGTAATTGTTTGGATGAGTTTGATAATTCAGGTGAGCGATCTAGGGCCATCATGGCCCTCTTGTTTCATTTTTTTTACTTAAATTTTTGTCAGAAACCATGGGAGTTATCAACAACAAATTTTGTAGGTAGATTGATCAATGCAATCAAACATTAACTCTGCCTTCCTTAACCCATTACCGGATATATAGGCCTTTTAAAGCCTTTTTCAACCCCCTCCCTCATTTTGTTGTCTCTAATGGTAAAAAAATGCCTATTAAGGCCCCCAACAAATGTTTTTGTTTGAGAAATGCTGTGTTGCAGCACTATGAAATCAATTTTGATGGAAAAAATCAACGGAAAATAGTGATTTTTGGCAATGTTGAGATGTCCCCTCATTGCCATGGTAATAAGAAATTTAAGACTGAGCATGTTGTTGCAAAGGCAATGGTCCAGTCAACATTTGTGCCAAGTTTGTTAAGAATTGAAGCAGTTTTATAGCAATTTGAACTTGTAACGGGAGACTTTTCAATGAAAACAGCCATTTTTCACAAAATGCTCATGCAGTAATGGGTTATTTTGGAGAAATTGCCCTTGGTCCATTTTTACACTTTGAACTTTGTCAGAGACATAACTCTAACAGAGACACTAAAAGAGGTATACTTTTCTGTGTCCAAAACCTACTTGGATCTCCCAGTTTAACCAGCTCTTGTTAACAATAGGCAAAACAAGTTGATTTTTCATTTGTCTTACCTGACATGCTTGTTTTCTTGTGCATTTTTAAACCACAAAAAAATGTGTAAAAGAAGGTACAAGAATTTTGAATTTAATAATGAGAAAATAATATTTCACTGTACTTGTGATGCTAGGTTCTAGTCCATTGTCTTCAGCAATATTTTTGTTGTTAAGAGAAGTGAAAGTATGTATTTAGAACACTCACATGCTCTTGTGGATATGAAATACTTATTTTCTCGGTTGTATGAAGGAAATAAGTGTCAGTTTTATTTTTTTGTTCAAAAGAAAATATAAACTACATGTATAATCATGACAATGTGTTACCCTGCAGAAACTGACAGTGCTTAGCCACCAGTAAAGAGTCAGATCAGCTTGTGCACCAAAACCAGACTCTGTAGTGTTTGTAGCACAGTTGTGATATTTTGATTATTGAACTCCCTAAAGATTTGAATGGATTTTTCCAAGCTCAAAGCTTGGCTATTCCATTTCACAAATTCTGTAGGGTACAGGTTAAGAGAATTTGTTTCAAAGAAATGATCGTAAAGATGTTGAAAGTGCATTAATATCCTAAACAAACAAAAATTTAACTATATCTAAAACATTTGAAAAGGAAAAGTCCTTACATATGTATAAACAAATTTATGACTACTGTTCTCTTTTGAGATTAATTTATATGAATTTATGAATTATGACTGTTCTATATTGATTGTAGATAAGTTATGCTGCTGATGATGCACTGATAGGAATTGATGTATTTATGCATTTGATATCTGTAAAGATTTGTGGTATTAGATCACGAAAACAGTTTTATGGCAGTATTATAAATAACAGTGAAGCTGAAGTTTGGAGAACAGCCAGGTCATTATGTCAAGGTAACTGATCATTTTGTTTATTCAATCATATCATGAAAGTCAGATATCTATGTTGTTACTGATGGTATTTTATGAATTTAGACCATTAATAAAAATTATGTTTTGTTAAATACTGATGAAGTTGTTGAAATCCTGTGAAATTTCTTAGCTAACTTATTGTAGGAAATGTTACTTTGTTTTTACACTTTACACTATAGTATATTTAACCTGTGTTACTGTAAATTGGGCAGTTTAATGTTTATAAATTGCTTATATGATTATTCTCCATTTAGATTACAGTATTTAGATTACAGTATTTAGATTATTTAGATTACAGTATTTAGATTACAGTATTTAGATTACAGTATTTAGATAGCAATTTATATAAGGAGAAGAATAATTGAATTTCATAAAAGAAGTGTGTGTGCCTTTTAGCTTAAATTTTCTCCTTTTTATGACACCACATTTTATGACACCACATTTAGCTATATATCTCACATGAAATATATCATTGATTTGAATCAATAACAATACTCATATTATTAAGTACTACAAATTGTATTTTGCAATTAGCAAAATTTATTTCAGTAAGACATTATTTACAGAAATATTTATTTCAATAAGATATTATTTAGGGTTTCCTACTTCAGGCAGTAAAAACATTTTTTATAACCCTGCCATTCCCCTGTCCTTTCCATGAAATTTTGTAGCCAATATTTTGATCAGCATATCTGATATGAACAAAAGTGTGTTGAAATTGGTGTAAAAACAAATAAACAATTGAAGATATTTAATATACTTAATCAACCAATTTCCATTTCCTAATTATTTGACAGGAATAATAGATGTAGCTTTTAAAAGCAAGAATTTGTCGAGTTTATTGGTGAAGGGAGACCACTCATCAGAAGATGAAGACTTTGAAAATGACATAATTAGTTCATCACAGGTATGTATTGATTCTAATCAGTTATTTCTAGTAGATAGCAAGTTTGATTTATTTTTATGCCACCGCCGCATCTGTGATGCGGTGGCATATAGCGATTCACCTGTGTGTGTGTGTGTGTGTGTGTTTGTTTGTATGATTGTGTGTTATATAGATTATATAGTGAACTTAAAAAATCTTCTTGTGAAAAACCACTAGTCCAATTTCAACCAAACTTGGCAGGATTGATCCTTTGGTGAAGGGCTTTCAAAGTTGTTCAAAGAATTTTATTCCATGCAAAAATCTGGTTGCAATAGCAACCAAAAGGAATTAAAAGAATAAATTTAAAAAATCTTCTTGTAAAGACCCAAAAGGCCTAGAGCTTAGATATTTTTCATAAGGCATTGTCTTGTAGACCTCTACCAAGATTGTTCAAATTATAGCTCTAGGGTCAAAGTTGGCCCCGCCCTGGGGGTCATTGATTTTCACTATTGTACATATAGTAAAACTTAAAATACCTTCTTGTCTGAAGGTACAAGGCTTAAAGATTTGATATTTGGTATATAATATCATTTATAGGTACTCTACCAAAGTTGTTCAAATTTTGCCTCTAGTGTCAAAATTAGCCCCGCCCCCGGGGGTCATAGGTTTTCCTTATATGTATATAGTAAAAACTTTAAAAAATCATCTTCTCGAAATTGACAAATGCTAGAGGTTAGATATTTTTCATGAAACATTGTGTAGTGAACCTCTAGCAAAATTGTTCAAATTATAGCCCTGGGGTCCAAATTGGCCCCGTCCTGGGGGTCATTGATTTTCACTATGTACATATAGTAAAAAATAAAAAAATATTATTGTCTGAAGGTATAAGGCTTAGAGCTTTGATATTTGTTATATGATATCATCTACGGGTCCTCTACCAAAGTTATATAAATTAAGCCCCTAGTGTTAAAATTGCCCTGCCCCAGAGATAGTTTTCCTTATATGTATAAAGTAAAAATTTGAAAAATCTTCTTTTCTGAATTGACAAAGGCTAGAGGTTAAATATTTGGCATGAGACTTTGCGTAGTGAACCTCTACCAAGGTTGTTCAAATTATAGCCCTGGGGACAAAATAGGCCCCCCGGGTGTCATTGATTTCACTATGTGAAAAATTAAAAAAACCTTCTTGTCTGAAGGTACAAGGCATAGAGCATTGATGCTGTATAATATGATCTGTAGGTCCTATACCAAAGCTGTTCAAATTTTTCCCCTGGTGTCAAAATTGGCCCTGCATGGGGGCATTGATTCTCATTATGTACACATAGTAAAAACAGAAACTAAAACAAATGTTTTCTGAATTGGAGAAAGCTACAGCTTAGATATTTGACATGAAACATTGTTTGGTGGACCTGTATCAAAAATTTTGCCTTGCCCAAGGGGGACAGTGACCTTTCTTGTCCTATGATGTACAGTATTGAAATTTTTACCATGTGCACAGTTTTAGTTGTAAAATTGAATTCTGATATCAGGTGATTTAGATTTTGAATGGAAAAGGTGTGGCTAAATGTTCCGCTACGAAAAACCGGAAAGGTCCATAAATTACCTTGTTCACTATGTCTAATGTTTACAAAACATTTTTGTTTATAGCAGTCATCATTTCCACATAAAAGTGGGAAACATAAATCAAGTAAAAAAGCATTCATGACAAGACAACGGCCCCTGTATTACAATGCCCAACTTCTAGCACCAGATGGGAAATGTTTAACACTATGTGATATAAGAAAAGCACAGTGGTATTTGGATAAAGGCCTTGCAGGTATTTGTCATTAAGGGTTTAATTATTCGAATTATATTGTAAATGTTTCTCCTTTTAAAGTGTATAAAGCTATATCTGATGATTCTTTTTTAGATAATAAATGGTAAAAGTATTTTGTTTCCCTCATTATTTTATGGTTGATTTTTGAAAAATTTGTAACATAGAATGTCCCTGTTTATTTAACACTGAATATTGTAAATGCACAGTTTTCATTTAGGGGTCACAGGTTCAACCTTCACCTTGTATGCCAAAACAGTTTCCAACCATTAACTCCACAACCCCCAAAGCCTCTTGAACTTCATGGGTGCATTTGTCTTAGGCTGTATATGACCCTTTTGCTTTTAGAGTTGAGGGATCAAAGGTCAAGGTAACTGTGACCTAGTATGCTAAAACAGTTTCCACATTGATAGTTTTGTCTGATTTTTTTTTTGTTTGCTTACTAAACCACCATTGTTATGCCCACCTTTGATGAAGTTTTACAGCATGATGTCAGTCCGTCAGTCTGCATGACCAGATAGGGGGCAATCTAACTGTAAACAAGACAAATGAAACAATAGAGGTCATTCTGTAAAAATAGAGTAACAGGCCAATGTCCACTTTTCCCTAAATTGCTTTTTCCTTTACATAACATTTAATAACATAGTTTAATCTCATTTCTTAACTTTTTGAATAAAGGCAGAAAAATGTCAAGCTTTTTATGCTTTTGGCAAATATAGGTTTCCAAGTATCTAAATTAGTTGGGTAATATTGAAGTACATAACAGTAAAAATTATCTATGGAAATCTAGTTTGCCCAAAGAATGAGAAATGATAAGTGAACTTGTATAAGCTTTTATCATACAAGTATAAACTATATATAGTGTGATCTTGTTTTCATTGTAGTGAAGGTGGGTGAGGACCCTCTAAGTGTGCAGCTAAAGTTTGAGCCCAAAGCACGACCAACATCAAGTCAAGATTACTACCTGCAAGATAAGGAGAATATTTGTGTAGTTTGTGGGGCAGATGAAGATTATGTTAGAAAAATTGTTGTACCTCAGGAATATAGAAAGTGAGTTCTTTTAGTCACCTACCGGTTTAACCAGAGGGGACTTTAGGTTAACCATCTGTCAGTCCATCCGTCGGTCTGAGCAACATCCAATGGTCTTTGAGCTTCATTCCATCCATAATCTAAGTAAAAAGGAAATCCCATAAATTGACTAGTTTATGTGGTAATTTTACTGGTTTATGTGGAAAAGTGCCACATATAGATCAAAGAAAAAGCACAAATGTTGACACGTCCCTCCATTCACAAATTTGGATCACATGATAATGCCAAAGTACTGAAAATATTTTTATGAAACTTGATATATGGATAAATGGCAGTCTAGAGATTATTCTTTTTTTTCTTTTCTTTTTATTTGAAAACTTTGGTTGCTATGGCAACAAATAGACTGACACTATGGCAATTTAAACTTAAACTTAAATTGTGGCAAACTGGTTCCAGTGATAACACAAAAAGTACTGAAATATTTTAATGAAATTTATAAAAAATATTTGAAGATGGCGGTCTGGTGATAAGTCTTTTGCTTTTCTGTCTATGTTGAAAGAATTGGTTACTATGACAACAAATAAGCTGAAAATATGGCAAATATAACAATATTTGTGATTACTCAAAAAGTACTGAAAACATTTTTATGAAACTTGAAATATAGATAGATGACAATATTTAGGTTAAACACATCATTTTAATCTTGACTATAGGGAGAATTTTGAGAGCTGTCCTACTCACCAAGCCTTGGCAACCTCATCAAGATTTCTGATTGAAGTTTTTTACGTTTTTTCAGTATAAGTTCTTTATTCCTTAAGGTAGAACACTTCTAATGGGCGCTATAAGGGACTGTGAATTTGACAACATAGGACAGTTATATGCCTTAAATGTCACCTGTATGCAAAATTTAAACAAAATTTACCCTGTGGTTTATGACTTATTGACATTTTTATGAACTTAAACTTTGCCATTAGAAGGGCTTTTTTAGCTCACCTGACCACAAAGTGGTCAAGGTGAGGTATAGTGATTGGGCTATGTCCGGCGTCCGTCATCGTGCGTTGTGCGTCGTTCGTCGTCAACAATTGGGTTGTTAACAGTCTAGCAGTCACAGTTTTGATTGGATCATTGTCAAACTTTGTCAGAATGTTTGTCTCAATGAAATACAGATCGAGTTCGAAGATGGGTCATCTCCGGTAGAGTTGGGTACCGCAGGAAAGAAAATACCACGGTATACCACGGTTTTTTCCTAAAAACCACGGTATAAACCGCAGTATACCACGGATTTTCATTGTATGCTATAGGTTAATTTTTATCCCTAAAATAAGTATCAAGGTAGGCTGGTATAGAATTTCAAATATTAAATTAAAGCAGATCTATAAAATACAGATTAATCAAAGCATCATTTAACTTTTTTCAATCAGGTATTCATTCATTCAATTCGTATGTTTTATAAATTAATTGGGTCATGGATCAGTTCTTGTTTGTTTTGTTTTTTTATAACATATTGGTCTCTTTCAACATTTAACAACTGTTATATAAATTGCATAGTTAAAATGGAAAAATAAAATGTTTTTATTGCTTATTGATTAATAAAATAATAGGTCAAATGCACGTTAGCCGATGACAAATATTTATTTGTCGGTTAATTTTATAACAGAGTCCCAGCTGCTATTGTAATTTTTGTGTCGCCTCTATGGAGTAGTGGCGACATATAGGGATCACTTCTCCATCGTCTGTCTGTCCGTCTGTCTGTCCGCACTACCGAATAGGGATAAGGGGCCATCTAACTGTAAACAGAACAAAAGAGAACAATAGAGTTCATTCCGTAACAATAGAGTAAGGGGCCATTGGCCCTCTATTAAACAATAGAAAATAACAAAAGAAATGGCCCTTTATTTCATTTCGGCCGGACGTCCGTCCGTCACAAAACTTGTCCGGACTACTCCTCATAAACTACTGGTGCAATTTCATCCAAACTTTACAGGAATGATCAGTACCAAGTGTAGTTGTGCGTATTGTAAGCATTTTCTGGTTCAATGATTTTTGTCAGAGTTATGGCCCTTTAATAATTTTTTAATTTTAAAATTTGTCCGGACTACTTCTCTTATACCACTAATGCAATTTCAATGAAACTTTACAGGAATGATCTGTAGCTCAAGTCCTTGCGCATATTGCACGGGTTTTCCGGTTGAATTATTTTTGGCCGAGTTATGGCCCTTTGATAAAAAGGTGTTTTTTTCTGTGTGTTGCCAGATACACAAAAGCTTGTCCGGACTACTCCTCATAAACTACTGGTGCAATTTCATCCAAACTTTACAGGAATGATCAGTACCAAGTGTAAGTGTGCATATTGTCAGCATTTTCCGGTTCAATGATTTTTGTCAGAGTTATGGCCCTTTAATAATTTTTTAATTTTAAAATTTGTCCGGACTACTTCTCTTATACCACTAATGCAATTTCAATGAAACTTTACAGGAATGATCTGTAGCTCAAGTCCTTGCGCATATTGCACGGGTTTTCCGGTTGAATTATTTTTGGCCGAGTTATGGCCCTTTGATAAAAAGGTGTTTTTTTCTGTGTGTTGCCAGATACACAAAAGCTTGTCTGGATTACTCCTCATAAACTACTGGTGCAATTTTATCCAAACTTTACAGGAATGATCAGTACCAAGTCTAGTTGTGCATATTGTCAGCATTTTCCGGTTCAATGATTTTTGTCAGAGTTATCGCCCTTTAATAATTTTTATTTTTAAAGTTTGTCTGGACTACTTCTCTTATACCAGTAATGCAATTTCAATGAAACTTTACAGGATTGATCTGTAGCTGAAGTCCTTGTGCATATTGCACGGGTTTTCTGGTTGAATGATTTTTGGCCAAGTTATGGTCCTTTGATAAAAAGGTGTTTTTTTCTGTGTGTTGCCAGATACACAAAAACTTGTCCGGACTACTCCTCATAAACTACTGGTGCAATTTTATCCAAACTTTACAGGAATGATCAGTACCAAGTCTAGTTGTGCACTGTCCGTCTGTCACAAAATTCGTCCCAACATGAAATTGGCCATCATAAGGCGATACATGTGATTACTGATCGCTCTTGTTTTTATTGCAAGGGCTAAGTATTTAATTAATCTGTGTCAAAAACCAAAACAAACATGTACCCCGAAAGCAAATTAAAATTAACACATAGAAAACAGCTGACCATGTTACTGCTTAATTAATATTCATAAATTGAACGAACATTACTTTTAATCCAGTTTCTACGCCTTTCTATAATTAGTTAATTGCCATGCACATGCAGTAAGTGCGTGATGTAAGGAAAACCCCTAGCCTGATTGGTCGCTATTTATATAAATACTTAGAATAGAAACACCCTCATTTTATGCAAGGAATGCCCTCATGAATTATCAATCTTTACGATTAGTTTTTGTATCAAATAAGCGATATTTGGACAAGTAAATGTAAGTCGACAATTCTTGCTTCTTCAACTGAGATCATGCAAGTCGACAATTCTGGTACAAATTACCTGTCACAAATTGACATGGTGAGCTTTTGTATTCGCTTTTCATCTGGCGTCCATCTGTCTGTCCATCGTCCGTCCATAAACTTTTACTTTAAACGACATCTCCTCATAAACCGCTATTTTTAGCTATGCAGAACTCTGGTTGCCATGGCAACCGAAAGAAAAAACTTAAAACATCTTCTTTGAAAAAACCTTAAGAGCTAGAGCTTATATATTTGGCATGAATCATTGTCTAGTCAGTGTCTACCAAGTTTGTTCACAAATAAGCCCTAGGGTCAAAATTGGCCCCATCCAGGGGGAGGGGGGGTCATTGATGTATATAGTAGACCTAAAAAAATCTTCTTTTAAAAAATCCAAATAGCTAGAGCTTAAATATTAAGCATGAAACATCTTCTAGTGGGTGTCTACCAAGTTTGTCCAAATAAAAGCCCCTGGATTAAAATAGGCCCCGCCCAGGGGAGTAGGGGCGGTCATTTATTTTCCTTCTATATATATATATTATTACCCTTCCAGATTTTTTCCGCCTTTTTGATTGGATATTGATCACCCGAAAGAAATTGATATTACCGAGCCAGACGGGTTATATACACACTAAATTTCCCGGCTGGGTACCCCACGTTATAAACAACATGCGCTGTGGCGATGCGCGTACGGTTTGATTTTACGCGATGTAAATTCCGATTTACAAGCACTTTTTTACTGTCAAATGATAAAAATTTACCAAAATAGAGTAATCATACATATTAATATCAATACTGAAACAAATATGACCTTGTGAAGGCTTGATATTAATTCCAAAAAAGTGCGTTCAACAGACTACTCCTTTTCTCTTGTTTACATTCGTTAGGTTTGAAAGAAAATACGTTTATTAAAGTTTCGGCTGAAGATATGCGAAGAAAGCTTTGAAAGCGCTTCCGAATTTACATAGAGTTTGTTATTTCTTAAACATTATTATTTTATCTATTTCAACACTGCACAAGGAACATTAATCACGTTTTAATAATATATATATATATATATATATATTGTTTTTCCCTATATGTGTATAGTAATAACTTAAAGCATCTTCTTTTAAAAACCCCAAAGAGCTAGAGCTTAGATATTTATCATGAAACATCTTCTAATGGTGGCTACCAAGTTTGTTTACATAAAAGCCCCTCCCCACCCAAGGGGCCTATATACAGGTGAGTGATTTCAGGGCCATCATGAAATTTTAAGCCAGTAATTGTGAAGGATGAGCCTTACACTATATCAATATTAAGACAGGAGTCACTATCAGTATAAATGTTTACCGTTCAACCTGCTAGATTTATGTTATATACGTTGTATTTACACTGATTTGAATTTGGAATATAACAGGATTTCAATATCAAAATATAAAGAGAGCCCAGCCGTCTTTGTCAATTTCTACACATCAAAACTCTAGACCAGTGTTATTATTAAATAACAGCACTCTAATATATCAGAATAACTGATTTTTTACATTTCAGGTATTTCCCAGGCATTCTCAAGGATCATTCATCACACGATGTTTTATTATTATGTATAAACTGTCATCTCAAATGTGCTGACTATGAGGCTGCATTACGACAACAGCTTTCTGTAGAATGTGATGCTCCACTGGACTCGGGGAAAGATTCCAAACGATTTTTTGACCAAGATCTAGCCAAAGTTGTTTCAGCTGCAAAGTTAGCTTTTACTATTTACCCTGCTGCTGCTGCTGTTTTGGGATTTTAATATCAAAAAACAAAAATTTAGCTACCAACAATATATAATTAGGTCAGACTTCATAGTGGCAATTTGTATTTTTTGGTTCCAATTTATCTTAATAAATTATAAAGGTTTTTGACATATTTTATAGTAGAAGTGCAATCATGTAGTGCTAAAACATTGGGAATAATTATCCCCTGCCGATCGTCTCCTTGTTCCGGTCAGACACTTTAACTCATAGATATGGCCCTTGATTAGTTACGCAGTGTGCATATAGGGCAAACTTTATGGAACCTTCAATACCAAGAGGAGATGAGCATATCCTCGCCTTGTTCTTGTCAGACACTAACTCAGAGTTATCGCCCTTGATTAGTTATGAAGTATGCATATAGAGCAATAATTGTTTCCACACAACTTCTCTGTAACTACTGGGTGGAATTCAATTAAACTTTATGGAAACCATTAATACCAAGATGAAATGTGCATTATATAATATGTTGCCTTGTTCAGACCAGACCCTTCATTACAGAGTTATGGCCCTTGATTAGTTATGTAGTATGCATATAAAGCAATATTGCTATTTCTTTGCAACTGCTGTATTGATTTCAACACCAAAGATACAAAAAGGCAATTTGCATCTCATTGCCATGTCCAGATATTACTATTTAACACTCGAGTTAAGGCTCTGTTTTTGCCTTGAATATTTATTATGTACCAAGAATATTACTGTTTATGCCATGATAAATATAAAAAAATAAAGCCTTATGTCTTCAGTTGTTGTGTTAGTAATAACCAGTACTCGGCAGGGGATATAAATTCAACGAATTTGCTTGTTTCTATTAATTGATGGGTAAACAATATTAAAGCAACACTACTATTTACTATATACATTTTAAAATTTGTATTAAAAACAATTTGAAATACAGATTTTGCTCTGAAGTTTATGCTTGTAAACTCTGGTTCAGTTTTTGTACTATTCTTGATTTAAATGCATATTTTTTTGAAAAAGGAAAATAATATAAACACAACAGGAGAAGAAAATACATAATACAATAAATGAAATAATTTCCTTAATATAATATTTATTTATATTCAGTAAGAATGTAACAAGCAAAAAACAAAAAAGTTACATGAATAAAATAATTAAAGACACACTAGTAATATCATCTTGATATTTTATGTGCGTGTCTATTTATATTACATAGGGCATTGCTAAAAAGCAGAAAATCTATTCCGGAAGCTAGATTACAAGAACTTGAAGAGATTGTAATGAGATTCTATGGTGTACAGTCATTGCCATCAGAACTTTTAGAAAGTACTCTGAACATGGAAATAAAGTAAGTATTTGATGTGTGGTGTACAGGTATTATCACAAAAGGTTTTAGAAAATACCTATATAATGACAGAAGAACCTGTCCTACACCCGCTCCCTCCCCAATGAATCACAAGTCAAGTGTTTTATTAAATGATGTCATTCCCAAGTGCATTTTATGAATGAATTGCCTTCTTAGGATGACATCATTGTGCCGTTATGAATGTACAATGTAGTTGTAAATTCATACACTACTATAAGATGAAAGTGCTAAATGAAAATATTAGTTTTCGTAATTTCTTTTCAAAATGTCATTAATTTGTAATATGCGGAAAAATGAATCAAACGCTGGCTGTTGTCACAGACAGGAATATTTGTATTTGTAATTTATATGACTATTATATCTGTTGATATTACTTTTTACAAATAGAAAGTATGAGTTGTAAACATTTATTAAGATTTAAAAAAAAGTTTTTAGAAAAAAAAGGAACAAACTGTTCTTTTTAAAAGTCTTTTCTTAGACTATTAAATTTTTTAAATTTATAAAAAAATACATGTAAGATCTATGTAAATAAATGTAACATTTTATTTGTTCTGATTTCTAGAATAAATAATGCCAAATTTACTCCCCATGGCAAGAAGGTGGTCGAGTTCTACATGTCAAAGGAAGGGGGACTACTAGGATTTGAAAAAATGTGGAGGCAACATTTTATAGACTACATGCAGCCACAGCATTTACCTCCCTTGTGGTCTGTGGAGCATAGACCTGAGAGAATGAAAGCAATGGATGATCAAGAATAATTAGATTGTTTAAACTACATATTTGTTCATAGAAAATATTTTTGGGGAGGTGAAAAACGATATATTGTTGACAAATAGGATCTTAATATTGTAAAACTTGTCATAATTATTTGTCACAAATAGAGACATATAGAGTATTATTTAAAAGGTTTATTGTAGAAAAATTGTAGACCTGGTTATAATTGTTCTTTAATTCTAGAGGTAACTGCAAATTCATTTTTATGTTACTGTGATTCAAAATACTGCAAACCATGAAGCTTTCAATCAGTTTTTAAAGTACATGTATATTGCATGTGATGAACTATACAATTTTACATTATTTCTGTGAAATAACTTATATAATTATAGAGGATATTTGTTTGTTTTGCATGTAAGATCGAAATATATTTCACTGAGTGGACACCAGATGCAATATTAAAATGAGTGGCATAGCCACAAGTGAAAATATAATAGCTGGTGTGAAAGAGTGAAATATATTTCAATCTTACATGCAAAACAAACAAACTTTCTATTTTATTTTATGCTTTTTAGCTCACCTGTCACAAAGTGAATTGGTGAGCTTTTGTGATTGATTTCCTTATTTGTATATAGTAAAAACTTAAAAAATCTTCTTTTAAAAAACCCAAATAGCTAGAGCTTAAATATCAAGCATGAAACACCCTCTAGTGGGTGTCTACCAAGTTTGTTCAAATAAAAGCTTTGGGGTAAAAATTGGTCCCGCCCCAGGGGGTCATTGATTTTCCTTATATGTGTATAGTCAAAACCTAAAAAATCTTATTATAAAAACCCCTATGAGCTAGAGCTTAGATATTTATCATGAAACATCTTCTAATGGGTGTCTACCAAGTTTTTATCAAATAAAAGCCCCTGGTTTAAAATTGCCCTTGGCCCAGGGGCCTATATACAGGTGAGCGATTTCAGGGCCATCATGGCCCTCTTGTTTAGTGATTTTAAGGGGGCAGGGGACCTAAAAATGAACAATTTTGTATTTCAGTGTGGCCAGAAATACAATTCCAAATATTTCAAAATCTGTTTCACAGGCAGATAACCAGTTGCACAGCATTATTCAATGATATATGACATACATTGAAGAAAAAGATAGTTTGCATGCATTGCTCCTTAAAACAATGACTGACAGCAATTTATATTTACCCCCACCCAGCCAAAATCACACCTTAAAAAATACCAATATGGGCAATCTTCATGAGGGTGCAGCATACTCCAGAATCTGCCTTTAAAAATATCACTAACACACAGTGCAAGCAATGGCATTTTCAAAAATGACCAATGAAGTGTCTGTCATACGTTTAGATTTTTCACAAAATTTATCCGAAATTTCTTACTTGTTTGGCACCAACTGTCAAAGCTTGATTTTTAGCTTTTTCACCTCCATTCGGAGAGTCACAAATACATACAATGTACAAAGCTACCAAAATGCTTAGTTTCAGGTAAAAACCCAAAAATACTTCTCATTTCCTACACACATACAAGAAAGAATTACAATGACAGAGAAATATCAGAAGTTTCTAGTACCTTCAAAATACCATGTCTGAGTTATTAAAAAATTTGATCATTCGGATATGTCCCCTGCCCCCTTAAGTCATTTTTACTTTTTTTTCTCCATGATGTCACCATACCTATGCTGAAACTTAATCTGTAAAATTTCTTAAATTTTGTTACATTTTTAACACAATGCATAGAGGATATTAAATTTTGTTTGTTTTGCGTGTAAGATTGAAATATTTATCACTGAGTGAACACCAGATGCAATATTTTTACGAGTGGCATAGCCACGATTGAAAATATAGTAGCTGGTGTTCACGAATGAAATATTTTTCAATCCTATATGTTAAACAAATAATTTTTCTTTTTATTTCATGCTTTTTAAGTGATTTTAAGTATTTTTTTACTGATTTTGCCACATAACGCGACACATTCTCCTTTATGACATCATCACATCACATCATGATTCACATCATCAATTTTGAATTGTAGTTCTGTTAAAATTTATCTTACTTTGTTACATTTTTAACATGATGTATGATGACATCCACTTTCTTTTAGATGCAGTTAACAAAACAAATTATGTAATATAATGTAATACAGGAGTAATAAAATTTTATTTTTAATATGCTGCAGTTTCATTTTAAATTACAGATGAAAAAGTCGTCTAATCATACCTTAAACAGAGGACTTTTATATGCTCATTTTTGTCATTGAATATTTTCATATATCTGTTATAGATATCAATTCAGGTTTAAAGTACTTACTGCTTTAAAGCTGCACACCTCCAGATGAGCCAAAATATTTCAAGAAAACTAAACTTGAGTAAATGCTCCAAGATTTTAGGAAAATAAAAAAGGTTCAAGATTCAAGTTACGCCCAATAAAAGATTTTCAGTATCTATCAAGATCTTTCTACTGCATGACTAACTCAGTAAGGGTTATTTTTGCATATTTTGACCTCTTTTTGCTAACTTTCATGGGTTGTACATGTTGATTGCAATGTGTACATTACTTTCTTTGTTCACTCCACAATATTTTAGTTTTAAATACATTTGCAAAATTTTCATAAAAATTAGCATGAAGGCTTGCTGGTTTAAGTCTTTCCAAAGTTACAGTTTCCTGAGTTGAAATCACGTCTGTTAAAGCCTTCAAGTATGACAAATTGTAGTCATCAGTATTGCATTTTTGCCCCATGCAGAATGCGCATGCGCAAAATGCAACGTTGCTTGTTACTATGAAAAATCTTATTGTAAAAAGGTCTATATTTTCAGTCTTTATTGAAATAAACCATATGACTTGTATTAATGTCAGTTAATATTTTATAAATAAAACTGTCAAACTATTCCAGAGTTCTGTCTGCAATTTTATTTAAAGTTTATCATGTCATCAAATTATGTTACAAACCCTTTGATATTAATTACTTTTTTGTACAGTAGTGGTATTTTCACTTTGCATTGTTTGAACAAGCATATTATATCTTATCACACACCCGTGCCGATTTTGCGACTCCGTAAATATGGTATTGCACGGCCGTGCATATATTTTGACGTGACGTCATTAGCGTTATACAAACATAGTGTAAAGACGCGCTAAATGATGGCATAATATTCTATAGGCGCGTCAGTGAAAAATGACTCTTATTTCACTTTAAATGGTCTTTATTTTGGGTGTGTGATAAATAGAATATTAAATTCGTGTAAGTTCATTACTGAATTTATTGCACTTGTTGAATAAAATAATATTATGCTCGCCAGAGGCTCGCATAATATAATTTTATTCAACTCGTGCAATAAATTCAGTATTGAACTTACACTCATTCAATATCCTCTATTTATTGTATTCACCCTGTATTTTACCCTTTAAGTCTTAAGCCAATGTTATCAATACACAGGTATGTTCTACATGATCATTCATTTATAAAATAATAACAAATGTCATCAGATGACCCATATCCCTAAGTGTATAAAGCTATTTATTATATAATCTATAAATAGCTTTGAAATGCCTTTCCCTGATTGGCTAACATGCAGTATCCGGACCCATATTCACTGTTTTTATGCCACCGCAGCATCTGCGATGCGGTGGCATATAGCGATTCACCTGTGTGTGTGTGTGTGTGTTGGTGTGTGTGTGTGTGTGTGTGTGTGTTTGTGTGTGTGTTATATAGTGAACTTAAAAAAATCTTCTTGTGAAAAACCACTAGTCCAATTTCAACCAAACTTGGCAGGATTGTTCCTTGGGTGAAGGGCTTCCAAAGTTGTTCAAAGAATTTCATTCCATGCAGAAATCTGGTTGCAATGGCAACCAAAGGGAATTATAAGAATAAATTTAAAAAATCTTCTTGAAAAGACCCAAAAGGCCTAGAGCTTAGATATTTTGCATAAGGCATTGTCTGGTGGACCTCTAACAAGATTGTTCAAATTATAGCCCTGGGGTCAAAATTGGCCCCGCCCCGGGGGTCATTGTTTTTCACTATGTACATATAGTAAAAACTTAAAGGCCCAACTGGACTATAAAAGCCAGCAGATGGCGCTAGGGCAGGTTTCTTATTAATTTTATGCATGCTTCACTTCAGGGACCCTTTTTCAAAGATTTAAGATTAATTACCAAATGCATTAAAACAACACTTGGCATGTTAGTAGGCATATATATTTTTGATAAAGATTGACCAAAATTATTCAAAATATAACCTTGTTAAGTGTATTTCTGGAAAAAAATACTGGCTGTCAAATTTGAAATTTGAATTTCCCTGGGAGGAGCCATGTGATCATTACAGGTCATGAACCTTCAGTAGTAAACAGAAGCACGTGGCAGTGTTTATTTCAGGCAGAGAGATTTGTAGCAGACGATGTATTTTTCAGGGAGGGAGATTTTCAGCAGATGACAAATTGGAATGCTGAATACATGATAAGAAAAAAACAATAACTTTTACTGACTTGCTTTATCAAATCCAACAAATTTACAATAATCCATTAATCTTATTTTTTTTTAAATTTCAAAGTTCTGATTTAACTTGTATTTGCATGTAAACAGTAAAAGTAACTTCCAGGTATATTTCATTTACACTATATTTTGTTGTAAATATCTTGTAGTCAAAAATTACATTTCATAAATGTTAATCAAACTAAATGTTGCATATATGCATAAAAATTTTACACAAACAGTTTAAAAATATTTTAAATTCTTGTCAAGAACATTTTTAGCAGGTTGTTCCTAAAAGAAATGCCCCATGTAAGGCACATCTTTTGAATTTGGATATAATTGTATGACTCGATGAAGGACATATACAGCATTCAAGTTAAAAAAAAAAAAGAAAAACAACTGACTTCAAAAATAATATCTGGACAAGATGACTTGATAATGTCTTTAATTAATCTGTGAGTTATATAAAACATCCTTTAAACCTCTCCTGTGTAAAATCAGCTGTTTTTGTTGCAGGTTAACACTGCATGCTATTTATAGTTCAGGGTTTATAACAGACAGTTTTACATTACTGATTAGTCACACCCACAAATACTCGCTGCCGCGGCAGCGAATGTTGCCCCTTTAAAATACCTTCTTGTAAAAACCCAAAAGGCTTAGAGCTTAGATATTTTGCATAAGGCATCATCTGGTAGACCCTTACCAAGATTGTTCAAATTATAGCCCTTGGGTCAAAATCGGCCTCGCCCCGGGGTCATTGATTTCGCTATATGTACATATAGTAAAAACTTAAAACACCTTCTTGTAAAGACCCAAAAGGCCTAGAGCTTAGATATTTTGCATAAGGCATTGTCTGGTAGACCTCTACCCAGATTCTTCAAATTATAGCCCTGGGGTCAAAATCGGCCCGCCCCAGGGGTCATTGGTTTTCCTTATATGTATATAGTAAAAACTTAATAAAAATTCTTCTAGCAATTGACAAATGCTAGAGGTTAGATTTTTTGCATGAAACATTGTGTTGTAAAACTCTAGCAAGATTGTTCAAATTATAGCCCTGGGGTCAAAATTGCCCTCGCCCTGGGGGTCATTGATTTCAATATATACATATAGTAAAAAATCAAAAAATCTTATTGTCTGAAGGTACAAGGCTTAGAGCTTTAATATTTGTTAAATAATATCATCTAAAGGTACTCTACCAAAGTTGTTCAAATTTTGCCTCTTGTGTCAAAATTAGCCCCGCCCCTGGGAGCCAGAGGTTTATCTTATATGTATATAGTTAAAACTTAAAAAATCATCTTCTCTAAATTTACAAAGGATTGAGTTAAGATATTTTGCATGAAACATTGTGTAGTGAACCTCTAGCAAGATTGTTCAAATTATAGCCCTTGGGTCAAAATTGGTTCCGCCCCGGGGGTCATTGATTTTCATTATGTACATAAAGTGAAAAAAAAAAAAAATTTGTCTGAAGGTTCAAGGCATAGAGCTTTGATGTTTGATATATAATATCATCTATAGGTCCTCTACCAAAGTTGTTTAAATGTCAAAAATTGGCTCTGCCCGGGGGCAGTGATTCTCATTATGTACACGTAGTAAAACAGAAACTAAAACAAATGTTTTCTGAATGGGAGAAAGCTATAGTTAGATATTTGACTTGAAATGTTGTTTGGTGGACCTGTATCAAGATTGTTATTAAACCCTTGGGTCAAAATTATGCCTTGCCCAAGGGGACAGTGACCTACTTTCTTGTCCTTTGATGTACAGCAATGACATTTTGACCATGTGCACAGTTTTAGTTGTAAAATTGAACTTTGACCTAGATTTTGATGATGTGACCTACTTTCTTGTCCTTTGATGTACAGCTATGAAATTTGAACCATGCGGTGGCATAGCATTTTTCTCAAATGCAATCTTGTTTTTATCCTAAAAATAGATTTTAAGAGAATTCTTCTTAAAATAGATTTACTGGAAATCCCCGAAAGACGGGAGACTATGACGTGTCGTCACGCCAAGTTTGTTGTTATTTTTCTGAAAAAAAAAAAACGTTGGGTGATTCGTAAATAAGAGTGAAATTAGTCTATTTTAGTTACCGTCTTTACATTTTTAAGAGAACATTACGAATTAGCATGCCAATGCGCTCCTTGAAGATAGGACACGCTGAAATTTAAAATTTTCGATCCCCGTCTTAGATGCAATGACAGGGGCGTCCGTGGCCGAGTGGTTAAGGTCGTTGACTTCAAACCACTTGCCCCTCACTGCTGTGGGTTCGACTTCGGTGGTTCTACTCAGGTACCCGTTCGTGCCTGAAATAATGCACGGGAGGGCACGTAAAGCTTGAACGTCGCGATATTACCTATATATTGTGTCGATGTGACGTAAAACCCAAAACAAACAAACAAATTATGCAATGACAGATTTGATAAATATATATAATAAAACAGATATATGGACTTTTTAGCTGGTGAAGATCATATGTGATATGTACTGAAAAAAATAACATTGACCGAGGCCATATTTGTATAATATCAGATGCAAATAATTATATTGTTTAAAAAATTAAATTTTAAAAAGGCTACTTCCAAAATGCTTGTATGAAATAAATGCTATAATTTATTGCCTTAAAAGCGAATGGTGCATGCACAAAATCATTGCTAAACAAATAAAACCCTACTTAAAATAGAAAATAATATTTTGTTCCAGGACATTTAAATTTATTCTGTTTACGAAAATTATTTATGTGTATTTAATACTAGAGACATTGTATGTTACAACTTTTGGTGTATCAAATGAACCAGTATAATTTTACTGTTGATAAATTTTATTAAAATATTTCATAAGATATATAGAGGATATTTGTTTAGCTCAGTGTAAGATCGGAATATATTTCACCGAGTGAGCACCAAAAGGTATATTTCACGAGTGGCGCAGCCACGAGTGAAATATGAACTTTTGGTGTTCACAAGGTGAAATATATTTCGATCTTACACTAAACTAAATAAATTTTCTTTTTATAACATGCAAAAAAAAACGTTTTAAAAAGACATTAAACCTAATACTGAATGAAAATCGCGCCAAATTATAATACAACGTGACGTCATTTACGACGTCAAGTCATTAAGTTGGTACCCAGTACTGTGCACGCTGGTATTTCACTGAAACAACGTAAGGGGCTTAAATTCAAAACAGTGAAATCATCAAAGTGTTAATTTCACTGTTTCAAACAGTGAAATTACCAGTTTTATATCACTGATATATTTCTATAAACCACCAAAAAGCATGTAATAAAGACTAATACCCTTCAATTTATTACGATACTGCGAGTTCCATATTAAAAACAGTAAAGCTTTGGCCATATTCATTATTTATAAAGATGACGTATTCCCGGGAAATCGAATTAGGAAAACCCGGGTTCGTATTACATAT